TCCACCTCTTCTAAGTGGATAAGCCTTGGAAGTCGTGATCCAAAGCTCAGTGACTGAAGGATAAATGATTCAGAAATGGTGGCAGTGAGTAGACCGGAAGCTCTTGACAGTGTCGTCAGAATGGTGTTGGAATTTGAGACTTAGGAGTTGGGTGGACTGGGTCCATGAGGTGCAAGAGAGGTTAAAGTCGGGATGGTCCAATTACTCAAGGACTTCTCATGTGAGGCTGAGAACTCATATATCTGAGGTTTGTTTTGCTTCTTTGGAAGATGGGGTTTTCTTTGTTTTGAGAAGGGGTGTCCTGAAGCTGAGGCTGGCCCGGACCTCCTTAAATGGGTATTTGATCTTGAATGACCCCCACCCCCCACACTCCACTGCTGAGACCCAGGCTTCCAGGCCCAGCAGTTGTTGGTTGCAGTTCCCCCCCAGGAACCATTAAAATGCCTAATTGGGGCTGGAGAGACGGCTCAGCAGTCGAAAGCATTGACCACTCTTCCAGAGAACCCGGGTTCAATTTTCAGGACCCATGTGGCAGCTCACAACTGTAACTCCAGTTCTAGGGGATCTGATGGCCTCACACAGACATACATGTGGACACCAGTGCACATGGAATAAGTAAATAAATAAGTCTTTTTAAAAAAAATGCCTAATTAGTAGAGACACTTTTAAAAAGAATTATCTGGGCGGTGATGACGCATACCTTTAATCCAGCATTTTTTATTAATCCATTTCAGTCGGTCCTAGTGTAGGAACAGGACAGAAGAGGAAGAGGAGCTTAGCCTGATGGGATCAACTCTGAAGCGGGGCGGCCGGGCACAAGTGTCCAAGTGCAGAGAGCTGTCTCAGCAGAGCCTTTGCCTAGGAGGGTCTGAGTTCAAGTTCCAGGGCTCCAACAAAGAAAAGTATGTTGGCAGAGCCATGGGTAGCAGGCTTCTGTAATCCAGCACGTGGATACAGGAGGTAGAAGGGTTGGCAATTCAGGGTCATCTTTAGCCAAATGGCAGGCTCCAGTCAGCCTGGAATACATGAAACCCATCTACAAAGAAAAAAACCACAGTGGAAATCCAAGTAACTAGAAAACTGATTGCCAAGGCCAGAGTCTACAGGGATGGGAACAAATTGCGCCATGAATCAGCATAAATTTTCCCAAATTTGTAAGACTGTTTCAAGCAGGAAGAGAAACAGAGAAGAAGCCAGGGCAGAGTGGGCTTGGGAAAAGACCTCGACACCAGTGGAGCTGAGCTGAAAAATCTGCCAGAGTTGCAACTTCCTCCTGCTGAAGTCACCGATGACCTCGGTCCCGCCCACATGAAAATTCCATTCCTTGCTAAGTGAAGCATTGGCTTGAGGCCAAGGGTACCTGCATTAATAAGCTCACAGTTGGGTGCTGTGGTGTGTGTGTGTGTGTGTGTGTGTGTGTGTGTGTGTGTGTGTGACTAATCCCAGCTACTACAGCGGCCACAGAGCCCCTTGGTGCTTATCTCTCAGTGCTGAGTGGTGGTGTTAAGTCCCGCCTCTGAGGAGAGGCTGGAAAGGAAGAAATGGACTAGAAGTTTGGGAGGAAAAGAAGTACAGAAAACATGTTAAGCAGACTAAAACAAATGGAAGAGAATTTTACTCAATATTCAACAAACCCAAATTATTTTCATTTTCTTCAGGTTTACCTATTTTATGTGTGTAAGTGTTTTGCCCGCAGGTGTGTGCGTGCACCACATGTGTGCCTGGCGCCTGAGGAGTCAGCTTGTGACCCACCTTGTGAGTGCTGGAACCCAAACCTGGGCCTGCTACAAGAACAGGCTCTTGACAGCTGCACTCTCTCTCCAGCTCCAAACCTAAATTCTTTTTTGGTTTGTTTACTTGGTTGGTTTTTCAAAATGATTTATTTCTTTTTATTTTATGTGCGTTGGTGTTTTGCCTGCATGTGTGTGTGTGTGTGTGTGAGGGTGTTGGGTCCCCTGAAACTGGAATTGCAGACAGTCGTGAGCCACCATGTGGGTGCTTGGAACTGAACCCAGGTCCTCTGGAAGAGCAGCCAGTGCTCTTAACCATTGAGCCATCTCTCCAAACACTAAATTCTTTTTTTTTTCGGGGGGGGGTCATTATAGGGTTTCTCTGTGTGCATCAGCCCTAGCTGTCCTGGAACTCGCTCTGTACACCAGGCTGGCCTCAAACTCGCATAGATCTGCCTGCCTCCGCCTCCCAAGTGCTGGGATTAAAGACGTTGGTCACCACCACCCAGCTCCAAACTCCAAATTCTTAATGCCAAACTATTTGTGTGGCTTTGAAAGTCCTTATAATTATAGGTTCTTTTAGCCCTAGGTTTTGGTGTCTGTCTGAATACTAACAGGCAATTTTGTGTCTCAGATGACTGTATTTTATATTGTTGGTTGCTTTTGATTTTTTAGATAGGGTCTCTTGTAGCTCACGCCAGCCCCAATTCCCCAAATGACCTTGAAGTCCTGGATTTGGGTCAGAGGCTATACCTTCAGTCAGTCCCCCAGCCTGAACCAGGGCTTCCCTCAACTCTCTGTGGCAGGGAATTAAGAAGCAGTCTTGTGATGGACCAGCTCTTGATTTATGACACCTGGCCCCTCCGTGCCTTTGTCATGTCTGCTGTGCTGAACTAAATCATATAAAGTAGAATGTCTGCCACTCCTAGAAGGAAGGTTTAAAAAGCTCAGGTCTTCCCTTTGTTCTGGAGATTTTGGTTTGGAGGCCCTTCAGGGGGACTTTGCTTAGGGAGGTTCCTCTGAAAGTGTCCCCTGTCCTCCACTCATCCCCATACTACCCCTCATGTTGGTTCTCTCTAGTTTTTCTATCTCTGTGTGTGTGTCTGTCTGTCTGTCTGTCTCTGTCTCTCTTGGCCCCCCATTGTTCTTTTTTTTTTTTGAGACAGAATCCTGACTGTCCTGGAACTTGCTCTGTAGACTAGGCTGGCATCTGTAGACCAGCTAGCCTATGTAGACCTACCAGCCTCTGCCTCCCAAGTGCTGAGACTAAAGGCGTGCGCCACCACTGCCCAGCTCATTCTCTCTTTTTGCAAAAAATTAATTCTTTGAGAATTTCATACAATGTATTTCAGCCATATTCACCCCAGTCCTTCCCCTAACTCCTCCTTGACCCCCTTACTTTGTGTCCTCCTTATTTTACTTTATATTATTGTAGTGTATGGACTTGGGTGTTTTGTTTGTTTGGTTTGGGTTTTTCCAGACAGGGTTTCTCTGTGTAATAGCCCTAGCTGTTCTAAAACTAGCTCTTGTAGAGGTTGTTCCACGAGAACAGGAGATTGTTTTATAGGCTGGTGTCAAACTCACAGAGGTCCACCTGCCTCTGCCTCCCAAGTGCTGGGATTAAAGGCATGTGCTACCACCTCCCGGCGGGGCTTGGGTGTTTTGTCTGCACGTCTGTGCACCATTTGCGTGCCTGGTACCCACAGAGACCACATGCTGCTATGCAGTTACTGGTGCAGTGGGCCCATCCGTAAGACATCACTTTGCTCTGGTCCTCTCTGTCCTGTGACTCATTCAGTCTTCACTGAGCCTCAGGAAGGGTGTGATACAGATGTTCCATTTGTGACTGATAACTACATTGAGTTTGTGTAGGAACCACCATGCACCATGAGGAGGTCCGAGGAGCTGCCCTTAACCCATGGGTATAAAGGCTTGAATCTAAAGGGTACTTTGATGCTATGTCCATTTAGCAGAATAACAGCTGTATGTTCACCCCAGGGGCGTGTAAGCTCCCAAACCATGGGTTCTTGATCATGCTTACAGTACCAGACATGAGATTTCTCTTGTGAAGGGGGCCTTAAATCCAATCAGAAAGTGGTAGGTTACCCCCATAACATCCGTGCCACCATTGTGCCCTTCTGGGCACACTTGTCTGTATTGCAGTTTGCAAAGGGCCCAGCTGAGTAAGGCTGTTGACTTGCCCCCCAAAACCAGAACATGCTAATGCTAATAAGAATATGTCTTTAAAACACCTAAAGGCCCATGAGTGACTGTTTCTGACCTGGCAAGCAGGAGCTGTCCACATGGCCCGGGCTCTAAGCAAATGGCACATGTTGTTCACTGACCTGTGCAAACCTCCGGTGAGGAAAGTGAGCTCTGGTGAAGGATTCGAGCTGTCAGACGTGGGGCCGCAGCACCCACCTCCCAAGCCAAACTAGATGCTGGGTTCTCCTGGGAGCATGAGTGGACCGATGACAAACCGTCCACAGGAACGGGTGTTTGTGTGGGCTAGCTGCATGCTCCTGAGCGTGGACTCCAAGGAGCCCATGCTACATCCGCAGACACCGGCCCAGCCATGTGCTGCCACACTGATCACAGCAGCCAGGGGTGGAAACAGCCCAGACAGTGCCTGGAGAACGGTGTGTATGTGCGTATAGTGGAGTTGATTCAGCCATAGACGAGAATGAAATCAGGTCAAGAAAGATAGATATGACATTTTCTCCCATAATCGAAATCTAAACCACACACACATTTGATGTGACAGTAGAAGGGGCCTGTTGGGGGGGCAGCAGGAGAGGGGAGGGGGATGTATGCAAAGTACATGTATAATATATGCATGAATGAAAATCCCATAATGAAATCATTGCTTTGTGCAATGAATCTATGCTAATCATTTTATTTTATTTATTTTTTATTTTGTTTTTTGAGACAGGTTTCTCTGTACTAATCGTTTTAAAAGAAGAAAAATGGACTTTTTTTTTTTTTGAAGCAGGGTCTCATGTATTCTTGTCTGGCCTAGAACTCACTAGGAAGCCAAAGATAACCTTAAACTTCTGATCCACCTGCCTCTGCTTCTCAAGGGCCAGGGTTACATGTGTGTGCACCGTACCAAGTGTGTTCGGTGCTGGGACACAAACATAGGGTTTGTGCATGCCAGGCTGGCTAGAGCTGCAGCCTCTGTTAGATCATTATTAAATTTATTAAGTCTATTAAAATCTAACCCTTATTAAATCTATTAGAAAATTTAGCTGGGGAAGACTGAGACGAATAGAATTTATATAATAGATCAATTTTTCTCAGCTCATTCTTGGATTCCCTCCTTGGATCACACACTCAGCATCAGCATTGTTTTGTGTATTTGAAACAAAATTTCAATATTAGCCCAGGCTGGCCTGAAGCTTTCTGTCCTCCCACCGCAGCCTCCTGAGGACTGGGAGTGTCAGTCCTGTGCATCTCTAGAAAACATGAATTATTATTTTCAAAAGTACATTTCAGCTTTATGCATTTGTTTGTGGGAGGGGGCACATTCACGTGCATGCAGAAGCCAGAAGAGGCCAGTGTCAGGCTGCTCAGAGGTGTAGGTACTGCCGTCTGGAACTGGGTCCTGGAACTGGAAGAGCTGTGCCGAGCCACAAATCCAGCCCCTGCAACAAAACCGTATTACATTTATGGTACATTTGTGTGTCTGTGTCTGTGTGTGTGTGCACATGTGTGCACAGCTGTACACACACATGCAGTTTGTGTGTGTGTGTGTGTGTGTGTGTGTGTGTGTGTGAAGGGCCTTGGGGAATCAATTCACTCCCTCCGCCGTGGTCAGTCCCAGAGGCTGTACTCCATTTTTCAAGCTGGAGGGAGATGACCTTACCCTGAGTTATTCTGAACTCTGCTTATGTTTTTAACTAAAGCCCAAACTCAGATAACATCAGAATGGGGCGTGGTGCTACACACCTGTAATCCCAGCACTTGGGAGGTGTGTAAGCAGGAAGCTCAAGAAGTCAGAGCTGTCCTTGGCTACAGGAAGTCTGAAACCAGTCTGGGCCACACGAAACCCTGGAGAGAGAATTTAAACGTCAACAGACCTATGAAGGAGGGGTTTTTGGCAGTCACAAACTGTGACTCAGGCCACCCCATGTGGACACTACCTCAGCCGCGTAAAGGAAAGTCCTGGCAATACCCGGTTGTCATGAGTGTCGCTTTGACATTAAGGGTCATGTCAAAATGCTTTTTATGATTAGGGAAATCTGAGTCATTGTCCAGCTTCCCCTATTGAATTTCTGAGTCACTTCCTCTTCTATTGACCCAAACTTACAAGAAAAATCCATGATGGGTGCGGTAGAACATGCCTGTAGCAGCAGCTACTTAGAAGCTGGAGGCAGGGGGATGACTCGAGCCCGGTTTGCGGTCCGCCTGGGCAACACAGTGAGATCTGAGAAGAGAACAGGAGGGGCAAGGAGACCAAGGCAGGAGATGTGGAGCTTCTGGCAGTGACACATGAGTCCCCAGGCTCAGTGCCACAGCCGGGGAGTGCTGAGGATGTGGCTCCGTCGGTTAAGTGCCTTCCTGGCATACAGAAAGTCTAGAGTCAGCCGCCTGCACCGTATTCTGGGGGTGCTGGCACTCGACTATAATCTCAGCACTCAGGGTGGGGCAGCTGAGCTCAGAAGTTTAGCTGCATTGTGAGTTCTAGGCCTGCCCAAAAACAGAAAAGCAAGACAAGGGAATATCTAAAAGTACAGGCTTTTGAGAATCTGGGAACTAGTAGGGGATCAGAGATCAGAGTCGTCACTACAGATGATGTAAACAAGGTTGAGAAGTCACTCCATTGTCGCGGTCGCATGGCCTCTGTCACGTAACTTCTCCTAACTAGACCCTCTCCCCTAGAGCAGCTGACTTTTTAAAATGTGTTTACAATTTTATGTATATGTCTGTGTTGAGATATGTGCACATGAGTGCAGGTACCCTTGGGGGCCAGAGGGGGTGTTGGGTCCCATGATCCTGAGTCGCAGGTGCATGGGAGACACCACACCACGCTCAAGTCCTCTGGATAGAACAGGAAGTACTTACTCTTGTCCACTGAGTTCTCTCTCCAGCTCCTGAATGACTGGTTCATGTTTGTGTTTTGAGACAGAATCTTGCCCTGACCTTGTAGCTGTCTTCCTGCCTCAGCTTCTGGGTGCTAGAATCACATGTCCACCACTGGACCCCAGCTATAGGTTACCGGATCCAAGGCAAAGGTGGGCCCGTGGTAGGAACTGACTCAGGAATCTCTCACTTGATCACAGTGAGATCAGGCTTCAGCGTAGTCTACTGTTATTAGAAATAAACTACAGAAGCCAGGTGGTGGCGCACGCCTTTAATCCCAGCACTCGGGAGGCAGAGGCAGGCAGAGCTCTGTGAGTTCAAGACCAACCTGGTCTACAAGAGCTAGTTCCAGGAGAGGCTCCATAGCCACAGAGAAACCCTGTCTTGAAAAACCAAAAAAAAAAAAAAAAAGAAAGAAACTAAGAAAGAAAGAAAGAAAGAAAGAAAGAAAGAAAGAAAGAAAGAAAGAAAATAAACTACAGGCTACAGGGCTGGGGAGATGGCTCAGTGATTAAGAGTACTGTCTGTTCTTCCAGAGGTCCTGAGTTCAATTCCCAGCAACCATCTCATGGATGGTGGCTCCCAACCACCCATAATGAAATCTGGTACTCTCTTCTAGTGCACAGGCATACATGTAGGCAGAACATTGTATATATAATAAATAACATATATAAAATTATTTATTATATTATATATAATTATATATAAAATTTATATATAAGAATAATTTTTTTAAAAAGAAGTAAACTACACACTACTCAAAATGCTGAGGCAGGAGGATCACAAGTTCAGCCTTAGTTATATTATGAGACCCTATCTCAAAAAAAAAAAAAAAAGACAGGGAAAAAGAAAAAAAAAGGGAGAGAAAGAAAAGAAACCACACAGGGAGCGCCTCTCACCGAGCCCAGCTGGGATTTGTTAGTCTTTTGAGCAACGTGACTGTGACTTTGATTCCGAGGGCTGCCCTGCGCCCGTCAGGATGTTTACTAACACTACCGGTCGAGTGTGACCGCTCACACCTGCAACCTCAGTACTCTAGAGGCAGGGGCAGGAAGATTGCCGCGTTCAAGGTTAGCCTGGGCTACCTTCTTACCAACCCAGCCAGGGCTACAGGGCAAGAACCTGCCTCAAGAAAGGGGAAAACCAGAAAAGCCATCAAACATTGCCAAATGTCCCCTGGGGTCCCCTAGGGAGGGAGTATCTCTGTGCCTGCCTCTCTTCCCACACCCTCAGGGGCCGCCTCACCATCACATGGGACTTTCCCAAGGCTGTACTGACCCCCCTGCTAGAGGAGCAGGGGTTAATCCCCAGGGCCCACACAGCAACTCACTCCTGCCACTGTAATCCCACGGGACACGATGCCCTTTTCTGGCTACTAAAACACACACTTCCAGACATACATCCAGACAAACACCCTTACAGAGAGAGGAAAAAAAAAAAAGAAGATGGAAGTCTCCCCTCTTCCCCAGTGGGTGGCCTCGAAAGTGGCAGCTGGGGTGAAAATGGGAAGCCACAGCTTCTGCCCTTCCTCTTGCTCATGCAGGGGATCCCCCAACTGGATAAAAGTTTACATAATTGGTAAAAATAACACAAAACATTTGCAAAACGTAGCCTTACCTGTGAGGGCTATAGATCACGATAAGGGCCGTGACCCTTCTGGACCGGGTACTCAGGTCATAGGTCAGCACACAGTGCTTGCCTAAGGCAGAAGCAGGCCTGTGATCCCAGCACTCAGGACACAGAGGAAGGATGACCGAGAGTTCAGGGCTGCGTAGACTACGTGAAATGCCACCCGCCCCCACTCCTCAAAAAAAAAAAAAAAAAAAAGACGAAGAATGAAAAAGTGTCTTCCTGAGGTTCTGGTTTTGATCCCCAGAACCAGAAAGAAAGAAAAAAAACCTTTCTTGCTGTGGGTGTAGTGGCGCACATCTTTAATCCCAGCACTCGGGAGGCAGAGGCAGGCGGATCTCTGTGAGTTCGAGGCCAGCCTGGTCTACAGAGTGAGTTCCAGGACAGCCAGGGCTTTATAGAGAGACCGTGTCTCAAAATAAAAACAAAACAAAAAAGTACCTTTCTTACCATGAGAGGCCGTAAGGATAGACCAAGAAAACTGCCTTAATTAGATTAGATTATGTGGAGATATATATTTTTTTTTCTTTCTTTTTGAGATGATGTGTTACCATGCTCAGCAAGATTTTTGTTGTTTTGTTTTGTTGTAGTTGAGACAGGATCTCACTGTGAAGCCCTGACTGGCCTCGAACTCACAAAGATCCACTTGCCCTGTGTCCCAAGTCTAGGATTAAAGGTGTACGCCACCAGCCACCACCAGCCACCACGCAGGACTCCTGCAAGGTCAGTTAATAAAGGTCGGAGCCTGAGGGCTGAGAGAGGCAGAGAGGCTCCAGAAGAAAGTGAGGTGTACGGGGAGCAAGGATGCAGGCTCCTCTGGAGTGCACACACCATTTTCCTGTGCATCCTTCTTGACTCAGGGACCACTTACTTTCCCTAGCCTGTACTTATTTATGCCCTTGGTCACACTTAAGCAACCCAAGCTGTGCAGTCATAGGAAGACAGGAAACAGATGGTTGCTATAGTGACGTCTAAATACACACTGAAACATGCAGCAGGCTGAAGAGCAGTTTCTGGGTTTTGCTTGGACTTACTTTTTCCTCCCTCTTGATCTGCTATTTTTCCTTTTCTTCTCACTTTTTTGTTTTGTTTTGTGTTGTTTGGGGGTGTTTTTTGTAATTGTTTTGTTTTTTGAGATGGTTTCTCTTGTAGCCCTGGCTGTCCTGGAAGTCACCAGGCTGGCCCTGCCTCTTGAGTGCTGGGATTAAAGCTGGACCCCAACACCGCTGGCTTTTAGTCACATATTTTGTTGTTCTTTTGGGTTTTTTTTTTTTTTGGTTTTTCAAGACAGGGTTTCTCTGTAGCCTTGGTGCCTGTCCTGGAACTAGCTCTGTAGACCAGGCTGGCCTCGAACTCACAAAGATCCACCTGCCTCTGCATCCCGAGTGCTGGGATTAAAGGCCTGCGCCACCACCGCTGAGCTTTTATGCACGTTTTTATACTTTACATTCCTGGCCCCCTGCGCTGGTTCTCAACTCCCTAGCACTGATCTAACCATTTCTTTTCCTTTGGAATCTCAGTTTAAACAGAATTCCTGAGGGTCTGGGGGAGGGAAATTAATAACAACAAAGTATAATGAAATACATATATGGAAATAATGAAATCCATTACTTTGCATGCTAATTAAAAAACATTTGGAAGCTGGGAGTAGTGGCACAGGCCTTTAATCCCAGTACTTGGGAGGCAGAGGCAGGTGAATCTGTGAGAGGTCCAGGCCAGCCTGGTCTACAGAGCGAGTTCTAGGACAGCCAGAGCTGTGTAGAAACCCTTTCTCAAAAAACCTTGGGCTAGCTATGGTGGCACCTTTAATCCCAAGCACCACAGAGGCTGTCTGCAGAGCAGGCTCAGAGCGACCAAGCCTACACAGTGAACCCACCCCCCCAACCCCAACACACACATTAAAGACCCGGCTATAGTAACACACACCTTTAATCCCAGCACGTGGGAGGCATAGACAGGTGGATCTCTGTGAGTTTGAAGACAGCCTGATCTACAAAGTGAGCTCCAGGACAGCCAGGACTGTTAAACATGTTAAACAGAGAAACCCTGAACCCTGTTTTGAAAACCAACAAGAACAAACAAACAAACAAAAGCATTAATTAGCCACTAGTTGTAGTGCACACTTTTAACGCCAGCACGCCAGAGGCAGAGACAGGGGATTCTGGATTCTGTGAGTTGGAGGCCACAGATCAAAGAAGTCTGGGCTCCATATAGTGAGGCCCTGACTCAAACCAAGCGTATGTGGCCTTCCCTACTGGTGGTTTTGACTTTATAAGTTTCTGACTAATGAACTCAGCCACTCTCTGGGAATCCCGGATGGACCTAGCCAATGTCCATCATCCTGGCCAGGAATTAATCAAGTTTGCTTCAAATTTGGCTAAAAACCAAAAGCATTAATTAACTGGACATGTTGACTTAGCCCTACACTCCCAACCCTCAGAGGTAGAGGCGAAAGGATCATACATTCAAGGTCCAGGCAGCAAGAACTCTCAGCATGCAGAGGCACTCGCTGGAGCCTCAGGATATGAGTTCACCCCCAGGACCCACAGAGTAGAGTGGGACCCCCATCCAGTTAGTGGTGCCCTCCTCGTGCACACTCACAGTCAGTGGTGCCCTCCTCG